CCTTTTGATTTCTCGTGATTTCTACTTGATTTCTAGTATGGAAATCAGTTTGTTCCCCCTTGGTACCACCAGTCGACTCAACACAGCCCAGAGTATCTACTTGAGCAATCAGAAACAGATGGTTATAGTTTTAGGTATGAGAGAATATTACAATCTAACAGTAGAAGTTGTACAGCTCATAGATGAATTCAGATAATGATTATTCACTAATTATAATTCTTTATTTGTACACAAAAAAACTAGCTATAGCAGTAACACAAAATTCAACATCACAAATTTTATGTTTTATTGCTCCAATAACATTAGCTGCAAGTAATCTGATTTTTTATACGAAATCCAATGGTGAAGCAAATATTTTACTTGATTTCGATTTTAAATCTTTTGATCTTATCAGTACAATCTTTTCCGTAGCCATTTGTAAGTTCATATTTTCGTAATATATATATATATAAACCATGAAAATTATCATATATAATTTAGGTAATAGTGTACTTAATGGTAATTCTAATTGGATGCAAGGTATACAATTATTATTAGCTTATGGAACTATTGCAACTGGTTTCTTTTATATGCCTTTTTAAAATTCTACACTTTCTTCTTCATGAAGCATAATTAATGATTGTGATTTTCTTTGTTGTGAAGGAGAAATACAATCAGAATATTCCATATCGTTCGATTCTTTATCTTTCATAAGTTTTTGTTTTAATTTAATCGTATAAACTAAACGATCCCAAAATTTTATTTTCGGTGGTAATACTATCTGACTTGACCGACGTCTTGCAGGTAATGGTGATGCCGATAATTTTAAATTTTCTGGTTGATTCCAAAACGGTTGTTCATCGGTACCAAAAAAGATGTCAGCTTCTTTATTAAGATCAATAAATGTAGTACGATCGAAACGTGGATCAATAATTTCATTATCCTCCTCAATATCTTTTTTAATATTATTGGGGCGATATGGCGCTCGACGTGGAATAAATGGTGCAGAAACAAGTTCATGATTATCTTTTTCTTCAATATATTCCTGAATTAATAATCGAGTTTAAAATTTTTTCATAAAAACAAAACAAATTCTTCTTACTGTAGGTCTTAATTTTGATCGATAATCATCTATTTGTGCTTGTTTCTCTGGATCTACTTTTTTCATACTTGAAATTATCTGACTAATACTTGGTCGATGATTATTTGTTAATGCATGTACTCGATCATATTCAGATATTTGTGTACGTACTTCGAGTAGAGTTTTTTCTAAACGACTTCGATAGTTTTGTACATCATGTGATGGTAATTCTCTATGTGTTTTTTCAATACTTTTACCATATAGATCATGTTTCATTTTTTCTAAATCATGTCGCATTTTTAATAAACCACGTTGAGTTCGATAACGAAATTTTTTATGTTGAAATGGTTTATGTTGTACAAAAAAGGTTTCTGCTGGAGTACTTTTATTACCAAAAAAATGAAAATTACCCGAATCAACTATATCTGTATATGGATAAGGAGATTCTTTTATATTACAAGTAAGAAGATTTGGTGGATGAAACATTTGTGCCATTCTCATCATTTGAATTTTTGCTTGTTGACGTTCACGAAATGAAAGACGTGGTGTCGTAAGAATAAGATCCGATGTATTCGATGGAGATTTCTCTTCTATAGGTTGATCAATATCATCAAAACCAGCAATAATATCTTCGATATCATGACGCATTGAAACTAATGTTTTAGCTAAAACTTGATTCCATTCATGAGGATCTGTATCGGAACTAATACTATGTGATCGATGAAATTTATTATGAAACATAGCACGTATTTTATCACGTTTTCTAATTGGTTTATTTATATTATTGTTTTTATCGTGAATAGGACTGATTGTGTTATCAATAGCAACAACAGCAAAAAATTCTACTTCATCATTTTCTAATTTCATGTCAATGCTTATTTGTGGTTCCAAAAGATCAGCAAAATGAACATGTTTTATTGGTGATTTATTCATAAATTCTTCATAATATGAATCATCACTTGAACTATCATCGTTAGATAATGTTGATTCGGAATCTGTTGATGTTTGACTATGTTGTATACTTGATTGCGGTGTCAAATATTCAGAATGTATTGAAGTTTGAGGAGAATAATTTGTGACTACTGACTTAGCTGATTTAACTGGTGATTGTGATGTAGAATTTTCGGAATATATTGAAGTTTGGGGAGAAAAAGTTGTAACTATTGACTTAATTGATTTAACTGGCGATTGTGGCCTAGAGTTTTCAGAATGTATTGAAGTTCGTGGACAATAATTTGTACCTATTGGCTTAACTGGTGATTGTGGTGTAGAATTTTCAGAGTGTATTGAAGTTTGAGGAGAATAATTTGTATCCATTGACTTAACTGATTTAATTCGTGATTTTGGTATAGAATTTTCAGAAACTATTGAAGTTTGTGGAGAAAAAGTTGTAACTAATGACTTAATTGATTTTATTGGTGATTGAGGTGTAGAATTTTCGGAATGTATTGAAGTTTGAGGTGAATAATTTGTATCCATTGACTTAACTGATTTAATTCGTGATTTTGATATAGAATTTTCAGAATGGATTGAAGTTTGAGAAGAATTATTTGAACCTATTGACTTAACTGATTTAATTCGTGATTTTGGTATAGAATTTTCAGAATGGATTGAAGTTTGAGAAGAATAATTTGTATCTATTGACTTAACTGATTTAACTGGTGATTGTGGTCTAGAATTTTCGGAATTTGTTGAAGTTTGAGGTGAATAATTTGTATCCATTGACTTAACTGATTTAATTCGTGATTTTGGTGTAGAATTTTCAGAATGTATTGAAGTTTGTGGAGAAAACGTCGTACGTATTGACTTAACTGGTGATTGAGGTAATGCAGGATTATTAGTAACAAGAAACGAAGCCATCGTTTGTTATCAAACGAACTAAAACGAAGAAAAAGATGGATAAGATATAATGTTATTCATGTATACATATGTTATACTTGCACGCTTCACTTATTTTCAAACAATTTTTTTCTCTTTCTTGAGAGTGACTATGTTTTCACCTGTTGATAATGTTATATATATATATATATATATGAGTATAAAAATAAAACGCCTCGATGATGAGCATACTTAAGCATTTATTTCTTCCTTGTAAATGTGATGGTAATCATTTTGTTTGATTACTTTCTATTAAATCAAAAGAAAGTAACTGTTTTAATGGTAATATTTACGAAAAAAAAGAAACTATACTATATGTTGAATTTTCATTTCGTTCAATTTATATACCAAAATATTTAATAATATACATTCTTATATTCATATAATATTTCAGTCTTTTTAGTTAATATTGATTTAAACAAAACATCTCTTAAATAAATATAAATCTTGACTAGTTGTTAAATACTATTAGTCATATTTCTGTATAGCTTTAATGAGCAAGTTTATTGCATATTAAAATATATTTCATGACATTCTTAGTTTCAATACAGAAACTTAATGGCA